AAAGATGGCATCCTATTCCCCCCCCCCCCCCCCCCCACCCCCACCTCCTTGATTCGAATATCATCAAACTTGTATACCCCCTTGCTATCGATTCACTATGTCACCTCCTTATCCTTCCTCCCCCTCTGTAAGCATGAGTGATTGCTGATATAAAGGGCACAATATCTACGAGATTGAAATTTGTATATAAAACATGTAGCCAATGAATCATTTTCATCTCGCATTACTTAACTCACATGTATTTTAAAGGTAACGTTGAAGGAAGAGAGCCACAGGAACACATGACTATGACGTTTTTGAACATTCAGGGTCTCCTTGCATGCCGCATGTTACACCCAAGAATAGCCTTGATGGATTGAGTGGGCATGAGTGGGCATCATCTCGCTTCTTTCTTACTTCTACCCGTGTCTTGTCATTTACCTGTTGACTACTACCTACAGTAGTATCCATACTGCACAGCAAATCAAAGAACACTACTGCTCGTGACAAAGCCATACCTAAATTGCTGTGAAGAAATTTACATCCGACATCCGACCGGTGACGGTGACGGCCAACCGGAGACGAATCATTTCACCTCCACTCGACTTTAGCACTAAGTCACTTTGGCCATCATACATCTCACTTTGTCATCTTTCCACAGGCTGGCCAGAGGGTTTACAATTCATAGACCAGAGAGTGTGGTGGTAAGTTGGTACATTGGTACATTGGTACATTGGTGCAAGACGCATGACATATGGTCACGATCGATGTGATCCCCCCCTCCACATTAAAACGTCGTACTACCACTTTTCAACACTTTCTTCATCCTCCGACCGAACAATTATCCTGGGGTCATTCGAAACCTATCCGTATTACTCGGTACCATTAGTCAGAAGTGTAACGGTGTAGCGGTGTGACGGTAGAAGTGTTTTGTTCATTGTCCGACTGACCGAGAGATTGTGAAAGGACGTTAAGAGGATATTGACTGTCTGGTTTTATGTAAGTCATTGTGTTAGCTCATCTTCACCCTCTTAACCAACATATCATCTATCGGAATCACTCGTATAGGGTCAGGATACTTGTTCCTATAGAACCACATTTAGTCGAAGTATACAATAGAGTAGTAGTCATAAACTTACGATAATCAAAGATGTCCTTTTGACTGATCTATCACAGTACTTAGTTCTCGAATCACCATACATACATACATATCACTCCACTCTACTTTTCCATCTTCAATACTGCTAGTCCTTGGGCTCGTGACTCGCCTATACTATATCAAATTGACTTCACCGTGGAGGTTAGATAGGAGGTGAAATCAATTCAACATGCCCAGTATATTTCGAAGAACTCGTAGAATGTCGGAAAGTATCATCACCGACAATACCAATACTACTACCAACCCTCAAATACCTCAGAAAACCATGACGATGGATCGACCAGCTATGGAAGAAGAAATGAGAAAAGCAGGTTGGTCTGCAGCTCGTATCAAAGCTTTTTTCAAATCTAATGGTTTTGAAGGAAAGTTTAGTTTGAGAAGAAGGAAAAGTATGGAAGTATCACCACCTGCTTCATCACCTGAAGATATCATCAATACAACTAGTCCTATCAACCCGACTACTCCTATCAACATCACTACTTCTCTCAACCCTACCACTTCTGATGGTCCCACCATCCTCGGTTCAACACCCACCCCACTTAACGGTACACTCTCCCCTCCTGTGAGAAATGGCACTGGGACCACAGCTCGAAATATCAATCATACTCCTCGTTCATCCATCACCCAAAATATATTTCCCTCTCCAAAACGATACCCTGAAAACTTTTCTCTTGGGAGAACCACCTCACCCGAAGGTAATGATCACGCCCGAAGAGCCAGTTGGACACCATCTTACCCGATCAGAGTACCGAGTGACGGATACGCCGACGTCGCCCCGGATGGTCATACAGTGCCGAATGGGAAAATGGCGGTATCGCCCATCGTACCCGGTACAACGGATGAAAATGCCTTACGGAGATCACAAGCACCATCAGAGGGATTCAAGGGAGATTTAGGGAATGATATGATACTTGCTCCACCTTTAACTACAACGCCCCATAAATCTCCCGAGGATACCCTACCCACTCCTCCAACATCTGCCAATCCCCCGATCAGAGAAGATTTGAAAGATGTCAATTCAATCAAACCATCTCTCAACATTCAGACTCCTCTCTCGACAATACAGAATGAACATAGATCGTCCATCGTAGCGACAAATATCACCAATTCCCCTATATCTTCCAATGTGACACCCTCCACCTCCACCCCTTCATCGCCCCAAACATCCAAAGGAGATAAGAGAAGACCTGACATACCTATAAGACGCACGACTCTGATCTCTTCCCCACCCATGCCGCAGCCCATCAAAAACCTTCCCACACTTGCCAACTTGTCCGGTTACTCATCTCCCAACATTCCGGGTCCGTCCTGGGGCTCATTAGCCAAGGAAGGTGGACCTAAAACGCCTGGTTGGGGAGGCCTCATGTCACCCGCTCTACGCAACGAGGCAGGTACGAGTTCCAACGGGTTTCCCTTCGGTGGAGGCGTGTCTGGGATTATGCATGGGACTAATAAAGGTCAAGATAAAGGTCGCATGTCAGAGGGAGAACTGAGAAAAGCTAAGCGTGCCATGGTTAGTATCTCTTTTCATTTGAGACAAGTGCTCTTCTTCCCTTTCACAACGCCCATCATCCATCATCTTACACACTTTTTACCCTACTTTGACTGACTTCCGATCAAGACATATTGTCCCTGTGATATACGAAATGTCGCTGATGCCTTAGCCTGTGATGCTACGTGAACCCTCCTTTCGTCCAGACGGAGACGAGGGAGGAGATGTCGGCGCGGATGAAGACCAAGATGACGATGACGACGAGAGCGAAACGGAGATGGAGTTGCAGGGCGGTCAGGATGATGATTCCGAAGCGGAAACTGAGACAGAACCCGCCGTGGTCAAGGGTAGAAGGAGCTTGTTATCGACTAAGAAAGGTAAGGGGAAAGGAAAGAGGAAGGTGACTGTCAAGGGGGTGCCAAGTAGGACCATGGGCGCTGTCAAAGAGGAGGAAGGTGAGTGGGGTTTTCTTGATTTTTTTTTCTCTCGAGTCAAAACACTCCTGATCCATATTCTGTTATCTTATCCATTCCAATAACAGACAATATCTCCTCTCTTTCGCCATTGCAGTTGGCCCAATTTGTCCGTGTCAATGGCCATGATCTTCTTTCACATCAAACTCAAGTTGAAAAACTCGAGAGAAACTCACCTCACAGATGCCCCATCGAATTCAGCCAACACGCTCATCGCTGCAAGACGTAAAGCCCCTTCTCCTCGTTTAGGTGAAATCCCCAAACCAGCTCCTTCCATCTCCACTTGGTCTTTACCTACACCCAAACAACGTCCAGCCCATGCTCCTTTCGGCTCATGGACTCAGTTCGCCGCGGAGACACCCGGCACGTCTCTTCAGACCCCACGTCCAAACCCTGCCTCACGAGGGACGTCAGATTACAGTTCGGCACCGTCTTCGGAAGGTTATTTTGATTCTCAGCCTAACTCTTCGTCTGTCAGCGTAACTTCACCCACAACACAGCGAAATTTATCATTTGCCAGTGTGTCAACTTCCGGTCAAAATGAATCGTCACCTGTCAAACTTGCGGCTCCTCTCGTCCAACCGGACTCTACGCCTGTTGCAGTTCAGACAAATGAAGTTCCTATCGCGCAGCCTCAATCACCACCTCAACCTGGTGTGGTAGGTTTAGGTCTAGGACCAGTATCGGTATCCACACCAGATGGACCTCAAATCATCGTCCGAACTGCTTCTCATTCCGTACCCCAGTCACCGTCGACGTCGGAACGAGACCGACCCGTGGCGGAGGATGGCTCATCTTCTGGATTAGAAACGACTCCACCCTCTGTGCCGCAACGCACTCCTCCCATGCCCGACCAGGAAGGCGACAGCGAAGAAGACGAAAGTGAAAACGATACCAATGACGGATCCGAAGAAACCTCTACCATGTCACATGATCCTCCTGATTCCACAACCCAACCGTCTTCTCCAATGTCATCGGGAAAACGACCATGTCTATACACTCAAGTTTCCCGATCTATGATAGATGTCCGACCTGGAGGTTCAGAAATGCCAATGGGTTCTATGCCATTGACTGTTATGGGAACGCCACGGTTGGAAACTATTCGATCGAGAGAAGCACCAGGTAAAATTGATATACCTCGTAATCCAAGTTTCCCCAATGTGGAACAACATCAGGTATCGTCTCCAGGATCGGAATGGGCTAAACCGCCACCAACCCCAGCGGCGGGGTTGACAACTCCTTTCTGGGGGAAACGAGAGAAAGATATGCCTTCTATTCCCGGATTAAAGAGGAGAAGATCGGCAGATGATTTGGTTTTGGCACCACCGAAATACGAGCCTCCGTTCCCGGGCACTTTTGTGCCTAGACCGAGGGATGAAGAAGGGATGGAGAAATTGCCGGGGTATTGGTGTGCTGTGAGTTGATCATTCGTTCCCTTACTCGGCTCTTTGTTGTATTTGCCCTCTTTACCTCCTCGCGAGTCCCCCTTCCCTGCCCCTACTCCCGTCGAATAAACGCCACGACGACGACGATCCGAAGTCGAGGGATATTACAAATACTTCGCGGTTCGTATGCGAGATCTGAGGTTTTGGTGAGAGTGTCTTATTCGGGTCATGGAGGTCTGGTTTGCGGGGGCATGTCTTTGGGAGTTGACACATCTCGACAGACAGTCCGTGAATGGGGTGTACGGTGCAGCGCTCATCGAATTACAGGTTCACATTGAGGGTCTGCTCCAACGTAAGATGGAATTCTCCTCCCCCGGAGTACAATCAAGAGATCGTAGTTGGAAAAAGTTATATTTCATCCTTCGCGGAACCGCTTTACAAGTGTACAAATTTGACCCTCATCGATTTCCCTTGAAATCTGAAACCGTTCCTGTGCCCGTCGTGACAGATATGGAATCTGAAGAATACCTACATGTTCATCTTCCCGGAGAACGACGTCCTTCTACATCACTCACTTTACCTTCATCCTCTTCCCCACGTCGAGCTTCCATGTCAACTAGTACTTCATCCGATCAACGACGTACACCATCATCTACGGACACTTCCATTCGACGAGGTTCATTCGGTCACACATCTGGATCATCTTTGACCATACCTGATAATTCAACCTCTCGACGTGCTTCAATGTCAGCTTCGAATTCTCCTTTGAATCCGAATTTCAACACTGCGGAAATCAACGGAGATGGAAAAGATACAAACTTGTTCAATTCCAGTAATTCGTCTGGAAGAAGACAATCGAACGGTTCTCAAACTGCTTCAAGCGCTTCTTACGCTTCACACGGATCTTATGGTTCGACAAGTGGAGGAACTTCTTTAGCTTCTCATTTTCAACATAACGCTTTGATCAAGACATATACTTTACAGAATGCTGAGAGTGGATTAGCTGCGGATTATGTGAAGAGGAAGAATGTCGTTAGAGTTAGGGCGGAAGGACAACAGTTTTTGCTACAGACTGATAATGCTAGAGATGTGGTTGATTGGATTGAGGTGGGTTTGGGGTTTTTTTTTTTTGACAGTCGAGAATTCACATTTCCACTTACAACCATCACTACTTCAACTCACGATCATCTAGCATTATTCGTGTTTTTCTTTTTCTTTCTAGTCCCGGGTTCATCAGCCCTTTTCATCCGTTTCAATCCATGTTGTTCCACGTCCCAGTGTTCTCCTACTTTTCCGTCTCGGGCGGATAAACTTGATGAAGGGAAATCTTGCTAAGTTTTAGGCATTCCAAGCAGCTACCAACGTATCTCTCGACTTGGACCAACGTCCCATGCCTAAAATCATCACCCTCCCCCGTCGACGTCGTAGACGTGTGGTAGGAACCGCAGGGGCAAACGGTACGGCCAATGGTGTTGCGGCGGCTAACGGGGGGACGGGATCGATTCCAGCACCGAATACGGAGACGACGAGTGAGAGGGAAAGAGAGAGAATGTTATTGGAGGATCAGTTGGCTGCTGCTGGTTGATAACAATGTTCGTTTCCGAAGTGTGTAGAGGGACAAATCGGTTTCTGGGCTTCTACAGTTCAACTTATGATGGGAGGGAGGATGATGACTCAATCTGGCAAAGAAAGATAGATCGGTGTGAGTGGAGCTTGCCCGCCCATTTGACAGACCCGTGTCACTTCGTGAGGGAGCTGGGGTTGGTGAGTTGGTATCTCGCTGGTTAAGCAAGATTCATGGATGGGAGATCTGAAGTAACGAAGGCGTAAATGGCGTTGGTGTGTGATCTGGACAGTGGGTGGGTGAATGTACAAATTTGTCGAGTGAAAGTTGAGGGATCATATAGCTATATTTTCTAATATTTTTGTTCATTTGTCATACAATACACTAAAGTATCAAAGCATGCATCTGGGATCTGTTTCGTACATCAACGTTCGATCTTTCTCTATCTCAAACATCATTCTGACCTTGAGGATTCCTCCTATCCTATCCTATCCTATCCTCTCTGTTTAATCCTGACCAACACTCCAAAGTCGAATTACCAACATCATCTAATCATCTTACAAAACCAATCCACAATCCACAATCCCTTCTAAAGAATACTTTTACAACTTCTTAAACCTCTCTGGAACTTTACTTTTCCTATGACTAGATTTGATTTTCCCAAAGACGACGACCCACCAACCCCATATTGCCATTCCAGCATAACCGAAATTAATCATTTTACCTAATCCTCCATAACCTCCACTTTTGACTCTACTGGAATTGACGATACCGAGTAAAGATATAAAAGTTACGAAAATCAAATATAAACCTAATATGGGTGATCGAGCAGGACTACGAGGTGTGTAAGAAGGTACCAAAACTGATAAACTTATCAAAGCTAATAATAGGTATGTGGTAGCTAATGAGAAACAAAGTGAAGATTCTAGTGAAGATAAGGAATCGTAATGATCCACTTGGGGAGAAAAGGTGGAGAACGTTGTGGATGGTGGAGGTTTTTGAGAGAAGAATAAAAGGATACGTGGGAATAAAAATAATGGTAAGGAAAGTATTGTGAACCTGTAATTTTGGTTAGATAGTTTCTCATCATTGTAAATCACTTCGTTTGAGTCTTGATTGAGAGTAAGGGGGTCAAACATTTATGCTGATGGTTCAACTTGTTCGGTTCAACCTTTCAGGTATCAAATTGGGAGTCTCCACGGCTGAGAGGGTAGGTTCAAATGAGGATGTGAATGGGTGATAGTTGATAGAAGTACAATCAGGAGTACAGTGTCAGTTATGAAATGAGGGTCAAGTTGAGAAATGAGGGATTGAGTGTTGTCAATTGACAATTGACAATCGGGAAAGGAGAGTTGGAAATTGAGTGAATAGTTGGGAGTTTGATAGATTATGGGGATGATGAGTGAATATTAAGAACCAAGATTCCAGTTCACTTGATGACAAGTTTACAGTTTGAAAAGTGAAATTGAAAAGAGGTATGTCATTCGAAAACTCACCAAATCGTCAAACCTAATCCATAAACCGAAACAGAGTCAAGACCACCTTCATTCAACACCACAGCAGCTTTAGCTTTTTCTTCAGCTATCTTGTAAGCTTTTCCAAGTTGACCAGTAGCACCTCCAATCCCACTGTTGAAGTCGTTCCTCCGTTTTTGGAATGTATCATGATCATCTTGAACGGTTGTTTCTGATGGTTTGGGTGGTCGAGGTGGAAGAGGAGGTTTGGAGGCGCCTAGGGGTTCAAGAGGGATTGAAGTCATCTTGTAGGATTTCCTTGACTGAAACGAGAATCTGTAAGAATTCGTTATCCAGTTTCAATAGTTTGTGTGATATTGCAGGGTCAAAGTGAAGAACGAAAGCGAGAGAAAGAGGAATGCGAGGATTTAGGACGATTGACAGCGAGGCAGTTGAAACGCGTCACGGGTGACGTCATTATCCTCAACAGCATGAAAGTAAGAAATGAGTGTGACAACGAGTTTACCATAGTTACTCGTTAATGTATAGAATCCACTCCGACATCTGCTTGACTAACAGCTACAGATAACGCCTAGGGAATAGAATATCCCAAAAAAAACATCACATGCATTCACCCAACTCAAAACCCAAAAGATCGACCGTCCCCAGACAGATCAGCCATCCATTTTTCAAAATCGCCCATCTGATAACCTTCCGAGGCCACGGGAAACATCCCATCCCCTGTCCGCTGAGAGGGTACGTCTAGTATCTGTGATGGAACAGAAATGGATAGTGACGGTGGATAAACATCTGGAGGGGGAGGAAGAAAGGTTGAAGGTGTAGGTTCCGACGGAGATGCGATCGGAAGAGTGGATAGACCTGTCAATTGGTCAAAATTTAGATCTGGTGGGATTGAGGCGTTGTAATGGCTCAGTGGTAGAGGATGTCGGGCAAGTGGATGTGTCGTCGGGTAGATAGCCTGACCCGGTGTCGAGGTCTGAAGATGGCTCGAGTTAGTACTCGAAGAACGTAATAATTCCGCCCAAAATTCATCCGTCTCAACGTCCCACCGTCCTTGGGTGGTATTCTGCTGTGGAACGTTTTGCGATCCTTGACTTGTACTCGGTTTCATACCAACCACATTCGTATTATCCCAATTCATCATAATCGAGTCCCACGGATTGGCATCAATTGTGTTGTCCCCCCCTACCACGCTCGTGCCTCCTCTCATGGAAACAGGGAGGGAAGGACGAGAAGTTGCCGTCGGAGGAGGATATCGAGGTGTGGCAATGAGCTGATCCAACCATTCGTGTTCTATCGGACCACCTGGACTGGGAATGACACTCAAATCCTGTGTCAGATGATGAACCGTCCTAGCCCTGTCCAACATCTTCCTAGCACCATGGAGCAAAGCACGATGTTTCATAGTCGGTTGTTCTGGCGTCACTCTTTCAAGGATAGCGACACCACGTTCAAGTACGCTCATCCGTGCTCGCAGGGATGGATCGCCAAGTGGTGTTTTGATAATGAGGGCGGTCTGACAGGATAAAATGACAAAAAGGTCGGCTGTCCAAGAAAACCATTTGAAGATGCCCTCGCCGAAAGCGAAGATGGATTCAACCAAAGTAACGACGTGTTGACAGGTTTCAATGATGGTGTGCATGGAGACGGGGTGAAGGGCACCGCCTGACATGATTGCAGCCATGAACAGGGGTCGATGGAGGAAGGCTAAGGTGAGCAAGAAGAATCGATCTTGACAAAATTGCAAGGAACGCAGATAGCGCAGTGTAGGAGGGAGTGGGGCGGTACAATAAAAGTGACCTGAAAAACTCACCGAACACCATACACACATGCTGCGCAAGCCGATACTGCTGGCCAACCTGTACCTCCGAGCCCAACAAGGTCCCAGTGACCGATAGTCTCTCGCCGGCTCCAGGCAGACCTGATGACGTATCGACGCTGGGCAGAAATTCTTTATCCCGTCCCACGAGTGAAAAGGAGTTTGCGGGCAAGACCGGGCAACGAAGATGAGGGGGGAGGGCGTGCCACAGTCGTCTGACCGATGCGTCTATGGCCAGAAGATCTGCACATCAGTCTGGAAGGCACCGAACATGTGAAGCAAGGGGTTTTAGAAGCTGATGCAAACGTACCACTCTCTGGACCTCTGACAGCCATCGTCCAGTAATCCACCACATCACCCATTCTTTTTCCTAGCGTCCACTTCCACCACAGATAATGCGAGGTCGGTACATCCGAAGGAAATTGAGTGCTCCATGTCGAAATACGAATTGTCATGGGTGACAGTGCTGACATACACTGCCATGATCAGCTTTCCAAATGAGATCGATAAGCCGCCGCGAGAATGGTAGGTTCGTCAATCTGGACGGAAGGCGATGAATACTGTGGGTAGTTAGAGAGAGATACTGACCACGGCCCGCTCGGTCGATAAGAGCTCGTACCAGATCCGCCGACGATTGTTCATGTCCTCTGAAGACATTTGACCTGGGTTTGGTTCTACCAATGTCAGTTTCGGTCCATATACTGTACATGGATCACGAGCTGCGAGGATGAGATCACTCTCTCGTCCACTCCGACAGGTGGAAACGGTGGAGGTAGCAGGAAGAGTGTAGGAGAAACTTACCTTGATGATATCCCCTCACAGTTGCAAGCCTCAATGCCAATCCCAGGATGGGTGATATCGAATCCAACAGCCTTCGATCATCCGAATTGACCATGAACTGACATATCAAATGCAAAGTGATCAAACTTGACAATGTCGTATCCGTGTAGAAGTGTCCTGCAGCAAGACAGGCGTAAGCTAGATCATGATAATCTTGAGGGGTAGGGAACCTTTCAGTGGTACGGGTCCGAGACGTGGATCTCATCATCCGTGAAGGATGAGAAGTGTGTAGGGAAGCAGGAGAAATGGTCGAGTTGAAAGATGGTGTCAGGTCATTTGAGGGGATGTGATTAGATCGAGGATAAGTACGCGATGTATCGTTAAAGATTCCATGAATTGCGATGACTGCGAATAGAACGCCAAGGTCGTGTGGGTGGGCACCATCAACGGAGTCATATACTCTGGAAAGGATACGATTGTGAAAATAAGATGGAGTCATTGGTTGGATTCTGTCCATCAGTATATCTCCTGCTCCTGAGGCATCATATCATCTGACAAGGCATGAGGAGTGAATGTTACTTACCGCCATGAAGTCGCTTCCCAGAATTTATTGAATATCTCCTCTGCCGTCTTCCTTCCCGGTAACAACGTCACGCACCTTTCCAATAGTTCAGCCGGTAGACTCCCGTGAGAGGTATATGCATTCCCTCTTCTTGCCCAAGGGATATAAGCTAACCTTCTAGTCGTCTCCTTGGCCTTTGATTTCCGTCTAGCATGGTAATCGGCAGGCAAGAATGTTGGAGAAGGTACGACAGTATCAGGTTCGTCTTCCTCACTGGAAGCATCAGGAGAGACATAAACTCCTTCTCCTCCCACTTGTGAGCGAGACTGACGACGTCCAGAGGCGGAAAGAGTGAGTCGTCCCATGATTGATGCGAGGTCCAGAGCTTGGACATCAGCGAAGCTTCTCGATTGTCCAGAACTTGACGCTTCTGAGTTGTTTCCATGAGTGATGTCGAAATGTTCGACTGGAGGGAGGTTGTAATGTGCGGATTGCTCGACATCGTATTGATCTGTCTGGATAGGGATGGATGCCGCTGTGGTGATTA